AAAAAAATAGGGAAAAATCACACATTTTTTGCCGTTCTCAAGAGAAACGTCATTAAACGTCGCGTGACTACTCGGTGACAGACCTTGTTACTGATGTCACGCAGATTTCAATTTGTAATGTTCCATTACAACAAAACGAAAAAATAGTAACAATTTCTTAGGTACTGATCTCTAAAATGTCTAATACAGTCGTACCTCTAGACCAGAGGAGGCTAAATAATTGATTAATTGGATAATAATTAATTGGAGATAATAAGCGTGAATATCGAGAAATGAAAATTAGCTTGCATGTTTCCTCTAATAAGAGTTTACGTTTGCTTGACAGTACAGACAGCGCTGTTGGTATCACCGCCCAAGACTATAAGGAGCGAGAAATCATTTGGCCGTGTCACGCAACGCTTTACTCCAAAAAAAAAAAAGAAAAGCTGGCGAAAGAAAATTCTGTCTTGATTTCTTCAGCAATTTATTTCATATATACTATATTTTTATTTTTATTTTTTTTTTATTTTTCACTTTATTTTAATATATTTTTAAAGTTACGCTCGACCCTCGACATGTTACCCTCGACTCTCGACATCTTACACTGGACTCTCGACTCTCGACAATTAGATACACTCGCACTCAGGTACGCGAAAAAACTGCTGATTCCCGGTTTACTTGTACAACAGGGCTCAAATTCATCTTTTAGGCGCTGTGAACGTGAAATGACCAGTTTATTTGTTTTTGTTACGTAAACAGGTAAAGAGAGGCTAAGAAGAATTAATAAGTTTTCCAAATGTGTGGTATTTAGCCTAATTTTAACCACATTGTTTTGTTACAATGGACACGTCTGATTTTATGGAAAGACTTATACTTTTTCGTCAATTGTCTGTCAGATTCAAGCTTATATTCTTTACCATTTTTTTTTTGAGTTTTAAGATTTCCTTTTCTTGCAGAAAAATCTATGAATGGCCTTTACAAGCGGGTAGGTTCCTTGCATATGAGTTGATTAGGGATTGTTAAAACTCAACATGTAGTATAACTTCAATTGTCTCAAATTTCGATTAACTAACAGATTAGATTTACCTAGAACGATCATAGAAATAACCGCTAAGCGATAATCCATTTTTATAGTGTTTGGGTTAGTTCATGCAAACTGTGTTCCTTGGATTTAAGAATAATGAGTTTCTCCTTCTAATTCAAAGCCATGGAATCCGGTGTACGAACTCATTTTGCCGAAGACATTAGTTATCAGGCCTCACGTATACCCCAAGAGGAATTAAATGGAGAGGACCACATGAACGGTACAGGTCCTAGACAGGTCAGTGGAGTACTTGATTCCTTTTCAGTCAGCAACAACAGGTTCTTTCAATTCCCCTTCCCTGTGAAAGTTTGCGCCATATATATCGGAATTGGATGTGTGAAACCTTGAAGTCCTTTGGGCTTTTGGAGCTTTTCATCTTGCCTTTTGTCATTCATCAGATGTTGGTAGCAGATGAATAAGATATTCTATGAACGATGGGTTTCGTTATGTTTTCCTCATGGAAAGGTAACGGAAGTTATTGAAACATTAGTTTTACTCGTTGAACTGTAAGGGCCCCCTTCTCCGGTGGTTACTCCCTTATATGGGCTCCACATTTATGTAGGGCCCCAAAGGTTATGGTTTTTCAGCCTTTTTGGTCAGAAATAGAGTAGCGATTTTGGCCATTTTGCTCTGAAATAGGGTATGGGTTTTGCACTCTAGTCTCGAATTCGGTATGTTTCTTTTAGAAGAAACTACTTTTTCATCATTGTCGGTAACAGCATCAACAAAAACCCTTTACTATGCCTTTAACATCGGTCTGAACTAGGTAGCTAATTATAAGACAGGTCTGGAACAGGGTATTGATTTAATAGGGTAGGAAAATAATAGATTTTGTTTTTAAATAATGTAAGAGGTTTGGGAAGCGATCCGCACACTTCCACCCAATTTTCCTGGGAGTGGGCCCCCTTCTCGTACCTGTCACGTTCTCAGGATTAGGTAGAAAAGAGACCCGGGTAAGGGGTTGGAAAATAAACTTCTAACAGACTGACACTTCGTAGGCATTAGGGAGGGAACTCAAACAATCGGGTGCAGCTTTTCAGAGGATTTTGTCGCAACACATGGTTAAAATAAAGAGCAAAATGAATCAACTGGAGAGAGAGAACAACGAGCTTCGACAGTTTGCTTGCACTCTGGATAAAACCCTACAGGATGTCATTCAGCGACACAAGCTGGCAAGTATTTTATAGTTAATTCATCGGGCAATAAAGAATTGCAGGCCAAAAACTAGTCTGAATAGTAACAAATTTAAAACATGCTAGCTATGGCACTGCAAATGAAAACAGGGCGACAATGAATTCGAAATCTTACCCAAAAATAAAAACCAAGGCTAGCTTAAAGTGTCTGTACTGTCAACAGGGTTTTGTAGTGCTGGTATCTATAATGAGTCAAAAAGTATTCTAAGAAAAAACAAATTGGATTCAGACGCTTTTTCGCTTTTTTACCTTGAGTCTAGGGCTCCTGAATGGGTCGTGACGTCACGTGAGGAGGCGCCAAATCCCACCAGCTTATGTCACTGTTGTTTCACTAATGTCGAGGGGTTGGACCGCATTTAGCAAAAACAAACCGAAAATGACGAAGTACTGCGGTCGTCAAGCAAGCAAGATAAAAACAGGAATCTTCGAGACGATCCTGAAGTGACTTCACTCGTCACCAATCTTTTATTACGCGGTCAATTTCATTGGGCGTGGCCGAAGGGGCAACTTTCAAGTTCGATTTTACGGCGAAAATGCGTCGGAATTCAATTTTTTGTCAGAATATTTTTTATATGTTATAGAGATACCAAAACCATAAAAATCCTGTTGGGCCTGGAAACACCGTGACTTAAACTGAGAAACCGTCGCACATCCCAGCCCTTCTACCAGAAAGTAATGTTAGCCAATCAAAGTTTAAACTAGACGCTAACGTGCGCCAAAAGCTAATTTGACAATTTAATGAGAAGTGAACCTGGGCGTATCATGAGATTCTTTATCTAAGTGATTCTCACAAAATCCACACACAGCACAGAATAGAACTAATAAAAGCTAATCTATCAATAGGTATTAATTAGGAATACATGTTTTGCTTTCGTTATCCAACAGAAGACTTCGCAGATGATAGCACGCGAAACACAAGTCAATATGGCTTTGGTAAGCTTACATTGTAGGGTTGTTTTTTCTGTAATTATTGACACCCAGTGGCTAAAGTAGCCGCTCTTCCCAATCTTTATAAGTCTTCCACTAGGAGCAGCGGCTGGTTGTTCGGCATCTAAGTTAACTAGCTAAAAATGCCAACAAAGTCGTTAATATTACTCTTTCGGATTGCGTTCATTACTTGGTATTTTTAATTTTAATTTTTGCTTTTCTCATCTTCAGGAAAATGATCTGAAAGTGTCACGTGGAACACAAGTCAACATGAGAGTCGTACGTAGTAATGTATTGGTTTTCAAGCATTCGGTAGTTGATTCAGAGGGTTGCAATATTGTTTTACCACTTCAAATTACAACCTTTGTGATAAAATAGAGATATAAAAAAGCTTGATAATATCGATAACTCTCGCTCTAGTTTGGAGGGGTGCTATCGATGTGTTGATGACACGATGACCAAAATTCATGAATACGCAGTGAGCTCATTTTCCGATCATCTCAATGCCACTAATCCACACGTTCAGTTCACTTCGGAGGAAGAAAAGAACGGTTGAATTCCATTTCTTGACACCTGCTTACACGTGACCGAAGATGGCTCAACGAAGGTCATCGTATACCGGAAACCGACTCATACTGATCTATACCTGATTTTCCATTTTAACCACCATCTACAACATAAAAGATCTGTAGTTTACGCTCTGCTACTTCGAGCTCAGACCTTGGTGTGCGAAGAAGTTGACAAAGTAAAGGAAATTCAAAACGTTAAGCAAGCCTCGAAAGCCAACAACTATCCTGATTGGATGCTAACAGTACTGAACACTGGATCTGGTTTGAGAGAGTCCGAGGAAACTGTTAACGAGTAGAGAATATATGCCGCAGTGCCACACATCAAGGGCACTTTTAATTCGGAACGCCTACAATGAGCATTTAAATCACACGAGGTCACATTTGTCCACAAGCCTTTCAATTCCTTAAGATCGCAATTAGTTCGTGTTAAAGATAAATCAGAAAACCTTAAAAAGTGTGGAACAGTCTGTCACATCCATTGCGAACAATGTGACAAAGAATATGTTGGCGAAACTTCTCGTTCAGTTAGAAACTCGACTAAAAGAACATCTTTCGAGGAATTCGTCAGCTGTTCATGAACATTGCCAGCTCACGGGAAATCCAGTGGATTCTAGCAAAACAAAAGTTCTTGCCACGGAAAGCAACACTTTCAAACGTCGCGTAAGGGAGGCAATTGAGACCGATTATGTAAGCCCTCTTTGAACAGAGACAGTGGCTTCGAATTAGCCAACATCTATGACACCATCTTAGCCCCCTCGAGACCGTAATGAACATATCACCCTTCTTAACATTCAAATTTGTATTGTGGCTGACGAAGTTCGGTATATCCCAACAAAATATCCCACTTTTATGATTTGAAATTGCGCTCTGAGTACAGACATTATTCTCTCTATAGTTTTTAAAAGTTGTTAAATACTTGTCATTCTCGAACGGCACTACTTGAAGGTGGCTGGCAACCGTTTTCATCACTTTTACTTTAATGAATCAATAATATCAATAATATCTTTTTCAAAGAGTGCTGCATTAATGGCAACAAAAACTGCCTAATCATCGGTGAACAAGTCATGGTCATTTTCGTGACGAGACAGGTTACCAGAGGCATGATATAACCTACTGGCATCTTAGATTTTTATCTGCTTGTTATTTATTGTATCGCTAATACCATGCTTGGAAGTGGCCACTGGAATAAAGTTATTGCTGTTATTTATCTATTTTCTCGAATCATTAGCAGTATACGCTGAAGCCTAGTAAACCTCGTGTAATACCGAGGGTAAATAAAGGTCTATCTATTCTAAGCACCGAATGAATAATAACAATAGATATCCCACAATTCTCTGCGCTGTATACATTAACATGCTTCCCTCCTTTGTGCAAATTTTCTCCTACGACATTACTTGTTTGTGAGCGTAGTTTGTGAGCGAAATATCTCCATCTATCTCCATCTAAAAAATGTGAAAAAGTTAAAACTATTGATGTACCTGTTCTTTTCCTATACCTTGGTAGGTTTTTAGGCCTGTTTCACTGAATGGAGATGCAGCTATGCCAACACTGATCACATTACCAGGGGTTCCCCAGGATGGATCAAAGAAAAGACAGTTTGTGCACCTGACGGCCAACCAAGAAACCTCCGTTAAAAGCCGTGTTGCTACTGAAGTAAACGAAACATCTACTGAGGACCTTGCCCAACGGAATTCCAAGGACAAAGTCAATCCTGACCAAAAAAAGATGGGGAATAGTCTCCACCCTCAAAGTTCAGCCTCTCATACAGAGGAAATGCCGAAAAGTACTATGTATCAAAATGCATTCCCCGGGGATATCATGGCACAGAATGACCAGACGTGGCTTTCCAAATCCACCAACCAGGCATTCAGTTACATAAGGAAAGAAAATGTTACCCGTGAAGCTATTGGAACCCGTATTGAAGGAAATACAAGCTCTATATCAGCTTATTGTATAGCAACTTCTGGATCACTGACCTCAAAAGAGATCAACACTCTGAATAATGAGACACGGAGTTCCGAACCCAAGGAGGATGTACACCGTCACACAAGCGTAAATCACACCTCCAGGCCAACTGCGAAAACTCCAATAGCTGTAAAACCAAATTCAGCATCTGTCCATTGTTACCCATCCCTTGGATCAGTAGCTTCTAAAGAGACCACAACTCGGAGGGACGAAGTATTGGTGCAAAACGAAGCTTTTCACAAGTTATCTTCTACGGCCTCAGCAATTACAACTGTCCCATCTATTTTTAACGATGGGATTGAAAGGGGAAGATCAGCAAGTCAGCTTCCTAAAAATCCCATGAAGTTACAGGATGCTTTTGGAGATAAAACAAACTCGACCTCACTTCTTCCACCGCCAAATAAATATAAGAAACCTAATGTAACGAGAAGCGTCCCACACCTAATTAAAGATGGGTTTTGCAATCGTAAAGATGGCCTGCATGATACCCCTTCTAGACATGCGTCGACAATGAAGATCTTCTTAACGGTTGATGACCCCGTAAGACCTGCATCAGATAGTGGTCCATTCAGTATCCGGAGGTTGCTTAGCACCCAGAGGCCATCACAGAAATCACAAGTCACGAATGCGTCGGCTTGTTTTCCCTCTCACCAGCAATGTGACCTTAATAAGCACGGACATCCACCCGGTACCCCTTCCCGTAATCCTTCGTCACTTAATGGAGGAATTGTGAGGGATAGCAGCCCCGTGAAACCTAGGTCAGCCAGTGACTCATTCGTTATTCAAAATATGCACATCAGCACCGAATCGTCACAAGTAACGAATACACCCAGCACTCTTTCCTCTCTGCAGGGTTGTGGTCAAAGTCCCTCTACTGTGCCTACATCTTCTAGCTTTATTTCGTCTCGAGATTTTACGGCTGGTAGGCATAACTCAAATTCTTTAATCGCACCTTCAAATGGAAAATCCTTGGGCCAAGAACATTTTGGCGTGAAGGCTGCTCCTCTTCAAACTTCGCCATCGAACTTCTCAAAGAGCTTTTATGAGCGCAACGAACCACACCAAAATGTAGGCCCTTCCAATGGATCATCAGCCGAGAAAATCTGTACAAATAACTCTAGTCGACAGAATCCTAGTTACACACATGAGCGAAAGTCAAAACCACTCTTCCACCAAGGTGCAATAAAAGTCGCTGACAAGACTCCACAAAGCAGGACGCTTCCTGTGGCTACTGTGCAGGCAATGACGACCCTTTCGAGTTCATTACATGTAGGTAGTTCAGTTCCTTCTCGTGAACGATTGTATACAAGCCATAATCATTCAGAACCACCAGGAAATAGAAGCTACTCAACAGAAAAAACAAGAAACGCTCAACAGTGGCGTCACAAAGATCACAAAATCCAAACGAGGCACAAATCATATGACGTAGAGGCCTTGGATCTACCTGGATCAACCTCTTCGCTGTTGACGCCTTCTACAACCTCTGAAAACAGTGACCTCCGAACATTTGTTAGTTATTTAACTGAGCCAGAACGCTCCCAAACAATATCTGCTATCAAAGAACAAGAGCTGGAAACCTCTTTCGATACAGGTCAAGATGGTCAGCTGTTAGAATCGCGTACATATTGTGATAGCGTGCAGACACAACAATTAGAAATATTTCAGAATCAATCAAGGAGAGTTTGGACTCTCCAATCGGACTGCAATTGGGTCTCCGATGATCCCAACAGAATGGGAATGAACAATGCTCCTGACATTTACATGCGTGTTACGGACAGAGACATTCTTCCAAATCATGATGATAACGTGTTGCAAAACCTGCCATATTTCCCAGGCTGTCATTCGCCTGTTGATAAACAGTACACTCCAGTTGGATATACATCGAGTACTGCGCATCTTAGTAGTTCACATCTTCAGCATTATCCTATAAGACAAATGAAGGAACTTCAGCTACCCCACCCCCGAAAACGAAAACTTCTCTCACCGTATAGACAATTTAATTTAACATAAGAGGGGATAGAAAACAAATTTCATTATCATGCAGGGTAGTCAATCACGAAATTGTATCATTTGTATCTATGATTCTCAGGAGGAAAAATACCAAGGAGCTTGGCGATAAGCCCAAGAGGCAAAAATATAGGGGCCAAGAAATGTCCAGTCAAAACATGACACAGGATCATAACCAGCATACCTATGCCAACCATCCAATTATGCATATCTTCAATCCTGGGGTCGGAGGGAGCCAAGTTTTACTAAGATTATTCTAGGAGTAGCCTTAAATGCAGAGACCCCTGCCCAATTCATTTTGCCTCAGTACAGTCTGCCAAGGAAAAAATGCAAATGCGAGCTAACAAAATATACAGGGAGAATGAATATCATATTCTGAATAAATATTCTGCCTAACCAACGCAATACAATGGTAGCAAACATTTTTATGGAGGTTTAACATATTAAGTATTTAAATAACCATCTGGTTGATGAAAGAGGTATACGTAATCATAATTGTGTCCGCAATGAATTATCGTACTTGAAAGATGAAGTTAGTGATAACACACCCTCATGAAGTCAGTAAAAGCACACATTAGGTGTGCTAGGGTAAGGTATATTATGCTTGACAAATTGGGGATATTGCTTTTCAATGTTAGTTCTGAAAACGGGTTGTTCTTTTACCGAAGAAATGAGATTGGCGATTCTGATGCTAAGTTCCCGGTTTCACACTCTCTTATCCCACCTCTGGAAATGGTGAGGTTATAGAATCAGTATGTCAAAAGAAACTTCACAAAATATAATTTTAATGTGGCACACTCAGCTCTTATTATGTCTTCATTGTTATTGATGTGGCAAACTCAGCTCTTATTATGTCTTCATTGTTATTGATGTGGCAAACTCAGCTCTTATTATGTCTTCATTGTTATTGATGTGGCAAACTCAGCTCTTATTATGTCTTCATTGTTATTGATGTGACATTGTTAACCCGAAGAAGGACTATCAACGTTATTCGTTATTTTCAAATGTAGCCGTTAATTAATAATACAAGTTAAATTATTAAACTGCATATTCAACAGTTTTTTCGCTATTTCTTATTTTAAAAAGCCAAGTTTAAATCTTAATTCTAAAAAAGTCCAATATAATCTTCAGCTTTCATATTTATTATGTTAAATTTAATTTCTAGCGAGTGAATATTATTAAAATTTAGTCCTGGGTAAAAGTGAGAAGACTCGTAAATGCATTGAAAAGACTCCATTTTAATGACATAGACTGGTTCTGAACAGCTGCCATTCAGAACTTGAAATGTCACGTTGATTTAAGTTGGCTGCCTGCCAAGGAAATACATTTATCATTTATGGTACTTTTCTTTTAAGATACTTGTTTCTGTTTCTGTGGCTCACCGCTCACAGCTGTGCAAGGTGGATGACGATTTTCAGACGGCTCTGATACAGGTATCGGAGTACCTGAAGAAGATTTTAACCACTCTTCACTGAGGTGTTCTTGTCTTTTACTGGTGATTTTTTTGTGGTGGTGCTGGACAAGATGCGGTCGTTGGTACTGTGGTAGATTGTCGTTGTCTTTTTTGTGTTCTGAGAGTGACGTTTGAAGATGCATTTCATGCGCGTCATAACCCTCTCGTTGACAGGTCTCTTGCCGTTTCATCGAGCTATACGGGCTTGGAAATTTCAAACCTTGCTGTGAACTGTTCTTTAGCTCGAGTGATTCACTTTCTGCATACGGTGGTAGTTTAGCAGTTGCGTAGATGGGATTGTCGTGAGATAATTGGTGAGGGGAGTTCCTCAGTTGAGTGATGTACCGCTGACATGGATGTGATAGTTCTATTCGTGGGCTCGGGTTTGAAGTCGGATGGAAGGATGCACTGTTGAAAGAACCTTCTCCGACCGTCAAAACCGGCTTACAGGGTAATGCTATACCTTCACTTTTTATTTTATCGCTATTGCACAAGGATGGCTCTTCTAGATTTTGTATACTGTTCTGAACATAACGTTTTGGCTGTAAGTAAACATACCGTCTGCATGTTTCAGAGCTCTTATTTGGAAGATTGGCCGCATTAACAGTCTGAAGATTGCGCGTCGGGAAATGATATGGAATGTATGGCACGCGATCGGAGTGAAGAAGGTGAAGCAAAAGACTTTCTTTGTTGTACTTCGATGACGTATTGGTGCTGGAAGAACAAGGGCTATGTAGCCGGACATCACTTGGAGGACATGAAAATTTTGGTAATTGGTCAGAGAATTCCTTATTGCCACTCTTTGTAGACTTTTCCTCGATGTGCGGCCACCTGAATGCATCACCATTGAGTGGTGATGTTAGTCGTGGCAGTCCATCTGACTTTGGCGATTGTTGCTTGTTCACTTTGGTAACGTATTGGATATTGGATCTTACTGGAACGAAAGGGGTCTGCTGTTCTTTAGGTCTTATTGGTGGATAGGGCAAGAACCTAGGTTTGGAAATGGCATGGTTTAGAGCCAAGGTAGTGTTTTGGGCTTGCCTCAGTGTGTGTTCTTGGCACTCTCGACTATTGTAAAATCTGGGAGGTGAAAGGGAATTATCACCCTCTTCTGGATTAGCTTGATAAGGCATCGCCTTGAGTTTGGTTTGAGAAACCGAAGCTAAATCTTGATCGCCGTTACAGAGACGTTCATTTACGGAAACACTATTATCTTGCTGTGAGTGAGTCGCTCGTTCCTCGTACTGGAGGGAAAGACTGTTTACGTGCTCTGGAGGGTTCAACAGTTCCGTTTTGTCCAATTTTTGGTTTCTAACTTTGAGTGACTTTTGGTGTTCATCGACATGTCTCGTAATTACATTTGTACACTGTCCTTTTAGAGGTTCCTTGCTAGGAACATGTTGCCCAACGACGCGTTTATACCTCTGGGGTTCCTCAGGCTGAGAAATAAAACTTCTTTGAGAAGTTTGTGACTTGGAGTTCACGCAATATCCTTCTAAAGCGTGGTTATTGAGACCTTGGTGGCTCAGATCGCGGGTGTGAATTTTGTAGCTCTCACCAAGTGTTCTACCCAGTGGCGGAGTTTTACTGGACTTCTCTGGAGAAAGGATTGGGTCCGTAGTTTTACTGCCAAGCCCTGCAGCTTGCGCTAGCGTGTTAGTGCCATTCAGTAGGCCTACTGACTGGCCAGAACTGCCCAAAACCGATGGATTCTCAGGAATCGATTTTGGTAGCTGTGAATAAGAGCTAACTGGACTGGCCACGGTTGCGATATTTGATTGTGGTTGACAATCCGTTAACTGAGTATCTGCATGGGTTATGTAGTAACACGTACCGTCGTTGGTAAGAAGTGATGCCTCTTTTTTTCTTTCATTCTCTACAATCCAAGTACTTCCCAATAATTCTCTGTGCTTGCTTTCTACTTTAGATGTCTCTTGATCAAGTGAAATTGGAGAAAGGTATCCCGCTGCTGTGTGCTTAGCCAATAACGTTTTGTTGTCGCCTTGACAGGTTTTTTCAGTTTGGGTGGAAGACAAATTCATGGATATCTTCTTATTTTGGTCAGAAGAGTGCTGCTTACATAAGACCTCTTTGTTTTCAGGATGGGTTGTTTGGGACGTCATTATTCCTGTGGCGGTATGTGTAAGAGGCTTGTAGACGTTTTTGGGTAGTGTGGGGGCTTCAAGTCTACACAACGGGTTTAAAGTACACTGATTTGGGACTTCTTTTGCAGAACTGGCGAGGATTTCGTCCAAGACTTGACAAAGAAGGGAGACGGGATTTGGTGCAGAATTTGAAGTTTTACCATTGGAGGGTACATTAATTCCTTTATGATGCAAAGTAACAACTGGAGACAAAACTGGATTGTGTAAGGCTGTTTTTGTTGGTGGTCCAAATCCAGTTTGAACTGGGGTTTTGGACAACGTTTGAGCGTGTTTTGGACGATAAATAGAGGCAAGCGTTGTGTCTTGGCCGATGGATGCGATGGGACCACTGGAACCTGTGCTGACTGATTTTGTGGTCCGATCATTGGTGATGCTGTGCTCCACTGAAGCGATTATAGTATTATGTGGTGGTCGTATTTTTGGATCAGATCCAACAACTGGGAGTGCTTTATCCTTCTCATGAGTCTCATCACCTGCTTCACTATCAAAGGGCAAGGAATAGTTGGTGTCAGTGGTGACAGACCTTTGGAGAGAATTAGATGATCCATCTTTTGTTTTATTTCCAATTGCAGTTTTAGAGTGCAGTTGTGGCTGCAGCAACGCTTCCAGACATCCACTCTCATCTGACTTAACTTGTGGCTTTTCTTGTAGTTTGGAGCTTATTAATGCTGTTGTAGGAACCTATAGAAATCAAATATAATATTAGGAAGGTAAAAGGAGAGCTGAATCGAATTACTATTCGCCTTTCGCGTCGTGTTCTTATTAAGTTATTTCATTTCCTGATTAATGCTAGTTTATAACTGGAAAACTGTGATGATTAATGCTGTGAACTAGGTTAACATAAATAAAGTTGGGCATAAAATATGCAAATTATTATCATCGCTACCAGAGCAATGGCCATTAGCAATCAACTTCGCAAGTTGACAACGCTGGTTTCAAAACAAATAGTAGGTAAATAACTGACCTTATTTTGCTTTCGACGAGTGAGTTGTTTCCTAAGAGCGCCCCACAAGAGAGTGACTCTATGTTTTAACCAACGGTTTTCACTTTCTAGGGTGGATATACGAGACTTCAAGCTTTCAGCTCTGTCCATCGCCTCTCTTGTATGATCTTTGATTATTTTTCTTATTTCCTATTGAAGAATGATAAAATGGAAAAATTTAGGGCACAGGTAGGTTTTAACGTCCTGATCATTTCAAAGTAAAATTTTTGCTTTTGACAGGTCACGTGGCATCGTGACGTTTAGGCGAAACTAGCCATTATTTTTAGTAATATCATCCAACAAAAACGCGTTTTCCATCTTCTAACGTTTGAAATGACGGTCCCTCTTTCCGCAGAAAAATGTTGTGGGGTGAAAAGTCGTTATTTTCAACAAAATTCGACTTTTGATCATTTATATCTTCTAAAAACGAAATCAAAGGAGATCACATCAAACGTTTACGCCACCAATTCGCCGAATTACAAATTTTAGCAAAATGATCACTTGATCAAAATAGTATGTTAAGGCAAGGCAGGACGCCTAGTTTTATAATCAGGGAAATTTTAGCGTTAGAAACCAAACATAACAAGAGATATAGCTGCCCAACCATCATTCTACTCTACATTCCTGACCCAGGCCTTAAGCTGCTTGGGAGGTCAATAAACCAAACACGACTCCTCGATAAAGAATTCATTTTATTCCTAAGAACACCATTTTCTTGCGGGACACAGTGAGGAATGCCGAGCGGGCTATTCGCAGGGTGGGATTTTCTTCTTCTTAACAACCGCGGAGCTAGGCATATAATAAGACCAGATATAGAGCGTTTTCACATGACATCACGGCAGCCATTTTGGTGTTCTAAACAATGAAACGGCGGCCATGTTGGTGTACCAAACCAATCCTGTGGGTGTTGAACTCTTTTCTTATGCAAAGACTTCTTTTTGTTTCAGTAAATTTGCATAGGTGCTGGCTACGTTAGTGAAAATGCTCTATAAACATGATTATGCGAATAAACATATTCACTGGACTGCGCTATCTGACGTACACAGACAAGCAAGAAACAGCTTGTCAAATCGAACTCTATTGTGTTCTTCATAACCAAGGTCCCTGTCGAAAACAAGTTTTGAACACAAACAAGGACATAATTTTTTATCATTTCATGACGTCAAACTTAACTGACTAAAAAATTGTTGTAAGTTACTTGAAATCTGTGAGACTTACGTGATGCAGTTTCTCTTTAGTTGGAGTATCTAGAATCAAACGCTCAAGCTTATTTTGCTGCGTTGGTGCATGATTATTCATGGTGCATCCGTTCTTGATTTCTGAAGGGAAGTGAATTCAAAACATTGACTTAGCAGTTAATGCACGTGAAGTGAGTCGTTTGATTGGCTACTTCTCGGTCGGGATTCTTTATTGCGGACTATTACCATGGTAACGGCCAAACCGTCATTGCACTCGTTTCACTCATTCATTCCAAGAGGTAACTGGGTTGCCCAATTTTGGAGAGTTGAAACGTCTTTGAATCTTTATCGTTAATTTTTGGAGTTCTCGGAAGTTCAGGTAATATATATGCAAAAAATGATTGAAGACATGCAGAAGATATTTGCAAAAGGTTGTGGAACCTTGAGGAATTTACGGCGCGTGATCGGAGTACGTTTTTAGCTACTTTTGTAAGAGCTGCATATTACTTTGAAAATCAGTTTTAGGAGAATAACAGTCGAGTAACTGGAATCTTTCGTTTCTCTAACGAAGATCTCATTAGAGTGAAAGAAGTACGTAAGGAGCTATTGTCTATTTATATCATCTCCTTTTTTCAGTCTTACCTTTGGAAGGTTCTAACTTCTCGTGAGAAATGGTCAGGAATTTGGAACAGCTCGTTGGCAGCACACATGCTGCTGAAGTTGACTCCTTCACACAATTTTTAACACTATCGGGGTCCAGCTTTCTCTTTGGCCCGAAAGCACTTTCCTTTTTCTCCTCCCTCGAAATCAGATCATTTTGCTGTAGTGGTACGGTTTCATTCTCATCGCTTCTTTTTCGTTCTGGTCCAGCGCGATTCAACCCATCAACGATGCTCCGATAGCATTTGAGGACTTCAGGGCGGACCAGCTTAAAGTTCCATCTTATTTTCTTGTGGTGATTTGGCACGTTACAGCTTGTCGTTGTCTTTTCGTTGCTTTCATTTTCCGAGGAAAAAGCATCCTGTACTTTTTGCCCTTTAAAAGGAATTTAATTAGGAAACGATTTAAGAGAAGTTAAAAAAGCCATTGGGGAAATTAAAAGTAAACTGAAATGGACTTACAGTCACAAACACCTTTCAGAGTGCAATACTGCTCAATAGCTTTTATTTGAATTTTCACAAACTAGAGTTATATGCAAAGACTGAAAAAGTTAGAATTACCTTGTCCAGTATAAGAAACATTACCAAATGACAATACTGCCCAACAACTTTCATTTGAATGGTCACACACCAGGATTTTATCCACAATGGCAATTCAGAGGGAATAAGTGTGGTCAGAAAAATCAATAATTTAATTCCCTTATAATAATAGTTTTTGAAAACAATGGACCTTATTATGTTTGATAAAAAAAAAAAACTGATCTAATTATAGACTTTACGAGATGTGCGAACAACTGGAAAAAAAGAATCAGCCGTGATGCCCGCTGACCTCTAACGCATAGCTTACTATTTTGATGTAAAATAACAGAGAGCTTAAGAAATAGCCAAACTAACTTACCACTTGGCTCTTCTTCTGGCGGATCGAGCTTCCTGTGATAAATGACAGAAGATATTTACAGTATATGTCTTAATCTTACCCAGTTTACTGTCTTACTCTTACCCAAATTTAACCATGCTTTCAATTTTTTCGGTTAATTGTTAGTCTTTTTCAATTTAACGAAATTATTTCTTTTAAGACCGCAAAGCACTCTTACCGCTCTTGAGAACGTTGCTTTTACTTAAGCACGCCAAACCTTGCATACGGTGGTCGTACACGCAGAATGAGCGGCAGTCAAAACCGAACTGTCCTACCAGAACGACATGATGAAAGTTTTGCTTCGAAGACAATCATGATAAAAATAAAGACAATGCTTATATAAGTTGCTTTGGCTCTTCTAATACTTACTGGAGAGATCTGTGTTTAATTTCAAGAGGAATAAGATATTTCGTTCAAAATAACACAACTATTATCCTACCTGGCGACACTCGACGAGTGACTAGCGAATCGAGTTGTCGGACGCAGACGACCAATTTTTGGCGCCAAATTTTAAGCTTCGAGACAATAAATGTTTCTTATTTTTCATTTTTTACAGTCTGAGATGGTTTTTGGAATTAAAAATTCCTTGACGTGAATATTCGATGCCGTCTGCAGTGAGAAAAGTTGCTCAACTTCAATGCCTTTCCTGTTAACATACATTGACGTCAGGACAGTTTTCCCCCTGCTAAATCCTGATTGGTCAATTCAAATTTCAGGCGCACCGGCCGTATGCGAGGAATTTCTGCTTATGGAAAATTTTCCTTGATTTACCGCACCAACTAGTCATCAAACAAACCCACTCGTTTGAGACCTAATAATATTATAACTCAGTTTCACATGCAGCCTTGCAAAATACGTTTGTTTTTGTAAACAATAGGAGATTAATAGAAGATATATATATTTATTTATATCAGATAAGTTATGTTTCCGTCTCTTTTCTAGATTAAAGAATTGCTTACAGCTGAAGGCAGATTTTCCAGTTGCATAATTTCACGAGCGTTCACAGACGAGCGGTGAATTTTAATGGCGTCACTTGGTGAAACAGACACAATGTGCGGAAAAGTCTTGCGTTCGACTCTTTTTACTGAAATAAATGCTCTGGTATTTTTCTATTAATTCCGCGCACGTAATGCCAAACAAAATCTGGAGAATTTGACAATTGTTGCACATTTCACATAATGCGGGGGAAAGTAATCATAAGTTAAGAGTTTAGGCTTCGTTAAACAAAAAACAATTTTAGATCGATTGAGTCACTTTTCTCTTCTGGGGGGGTTTGTGTAAAAATATACATTTTTTCATTTTCCATAGGATAAATTCAAGAAAAATTCAAAATATTCAGTGATGTCCCTCGGCGTTTGTTGTACAGCATTCTTCGATTTTTATCATTATTATTTTGTTGTAATTGACATCGGGGACAAAGAAATCCTTGTATGATTTAAGTTGCTGTTTCCAGAAATATCAGTTTATTCATCGAAGTACGGCAAAAACATATTTTCCATAACAGAAGTGAGAGCAGTGACATGAGTAGATATTAACTTTTTTTCGCAGTCGAACTTACCTGCGTTTCGGAAGAACTTCTGAATCCTCCATCTTCTCAGTAATTCTGAAGGTAAAGAAGATGTATATTTGAGGAAGTGTTTGTTTCTGACAATCCCCAACATAACCGCTACACGTTTTAGATTTTTTTCATTGACAGTTTACGATTTTTCTTTTGTCATATTTTGTCCTCTTCCATATTTTATGTCAACCATTTTAAATTTTATGCTTTACTTACTGATCTAGTTCAACAGTTAATAAGAATTAGTAAAATGAATGGGCAGATCTTTACAAATTTGATTTCCAACTGCAGGGCACAGCGGATAAAAAGTAATTTATGTCACAATCTTTGTTTGACTCGACCCGTAAACGACTACCTTTTATATTTTATCATCATCCCTCTTTTTTGTTTTTTCCTTTTATCAAGAACTTTGTCTTGTCGCTGATCATATCGATTCAAATTACGAATTAACCGATGACGCACACCATCACTGAAATCTTTCCTCAGTGATCAGCATATCTTGCTGCACAAACAAATACAGACAAAACAGGTATTTCACAAACGTGTCCTTACACAATGCGATCTCACACGTAGGGCGTCTTTTTAAATGTTCTCCACACCATCCGTTCTCGTCTGAAAATTTTTCAAAACATCATATGTTTTAAAAGTAGACGTCGGTGCTGTAATAAGGGCTTACAGCTGTACGTGACGTAATTAGCATACATATTAGAAATTTGACGCTAAAAGACGAAAACCGATTGACACAATACGGTTTGTTTGAAGATCGTTTTGCAACGATGCAACGATTCTATTATAGATATGCAACACGTGTATTTTAAAATTTTGGAGTAGTTAACAAGTTATTCTGTAGTCAATTAACCAGGCCATGCTAAGAGCGCTTAAGATGGCTGTTAGCGCTTGCGCAGTGAGATTTTGGGAACTAAACTTCATAAACTCAGTCAATTTTTTGGAAATTTTCCGCAAGTAGACAAAACATGTTGATTTTTCGACTCGCTTAGACAAGAAGTCGTCCGCCCCCCGTTCAGAGAAGCGTATCCTATCTGTCAGTGAACGACTTTCCGTTTTTTTAAGTAGCCAAAAACACCTGAATTTATTGAGGTGTCTGTATTTCTTTTTCTGCAAATAAATTTATGTGTAACACCAATAAAGGGATATAAAAAATTTGTGACTACAAAAGAAATACTTGTGATTCATTATCTCAGTGTTTCTGTGGTTCATTTTCATACAGCGCTGCAAATATCTTCCACATACTATACTGGTTAAAGGTTTGCTTTTAAAGTTGCTGTCGAAAGATGCTTATATTGGGCGTCGATTTAAAAACAGCAATCTTTCAAATGAAACCTGTCAGAAACAATTTTCCGATAATGTCAACTAAAACCAGCAGATGTTTGACGATACAAGAAATTAAAGGTTACTGGGTGATATTAAAATTATTTCATGGCGAGTGCAACTTTTACATGCGAACTTCTCAAATATGTTGTTAAAAAGACCGAGTAAATATATAATGATATCCTAAAATCATTACCAAGCTCACATAAAGTTTAAGATTGTAGAACACATGCAAATTTCCTTTTTGTGACATCAGTGTTAATTCATATACTACTGATGTAGTAACTAGCTCGGCTAGTTAATTCAGTACTTCGTTTTAGTTAATCTTTTGTATCGAATTTCGCTCCTGATATTCAACTGCAATTTCCTAGCAACTTGCTATTTGCAAAACGTAGCGGTTTACCTCTTTAAGTCTGACTTCCAATATGAACGAGGCGAAAGGGAACGTTTTCCAGCACATTGCTCTCGCTGTTAGTAATAACATTAATTCAATCATACAACAGACAGTATGATCTTGATATGCAGTCGTTTTCACATAGAAACGGCAGGTGTACTGCTGGTAAACTGAGCTCTGGATGACGAAATTTTGTTTCGCAGCTTCAGTTCGATATAGTGAGCTTTTACCGTACAATCACTTATTGACACACTGGCCTTTCTTTCATCGAATAATTAACAGCATATTTCGCATATGCGCAGTCCGTCTCCACTTAATGTTTTTTGACGTGATATTTTTCGACAAATAAGAACACAAGGTTCGCTCCCGTGGTAGTGAATTCATGGACGAGCCGTTATTGACAAACGTTTAAAATGAATGATAAAAACCTTGTTCTGTGAGTTGAATACAAGAGCCATCTGTCATCCGATTGTTTTGACAATCCAAGAAAAAAGCCTGTTTTGCTCTTTGCTATGCCATATTTTCACCTCAGTCCGCTTGACTTATTACACAACTGATCACGTCTATGTGGGATTCCATTTTGAACTAGTTTATCACTTCTTGAAGTATAAGGAATGTCGGGAAAGGGTAAATTACAAACCTTTAACCTCAAATAGAGACTAACAACTCGACGCCAGTTCATTCTGATTTGAAAAGGCAAAACTAAAACAAAAGGGTGAAAACGCCAGCTTGTCGCACGTCCCTTATTTCGAACAAAGTTAAGAGGTTTTATCCCGGTTTTAAATCTGATAATAGCTATACAGCGAAACCTACGTTTTGTGATGTTTTAAACTGCGAAAATGAAACAGACCAATCTTGCTAAGCGCGAAACTTAGGTTATTCTGCTGCATAGTACTAATTCTTAGCCTCTATCATCAAAACCAGTTGTTCGTTAAGATCAGAACGTTTCTAAGAACTTGCCGTCGAGCAGTTATGATTAATACGAACAGAAGGTTGGATTGCCACAAGTATGGCCTTGGGCAGTTTAACGACGGGGAACTACATTAATCCACGGTTACGCGGCTATCGTAAAAAAAGAAAGCAACAAAACACACTATTATGAATCTAACTCTGAAGGACAAGATTGGAAATTAAAACACGCGGCTTTCGGAACCTTCCAGTTATCTTGAAGCAGGTCAAAGCTTGGAGCAATTTGCGACGCTTACTTTATTTCATGCTAATATCCAGTGTCTCTCATGGTCAGGGCTCTTAACTGCGACCAGCTGTCAAAGATTGATTGACAGGCAAAATGACACATTATGCTTCTCTAATGACGTGTGTCTTTGTTGATAATTATTTCAGCCAAACTATAAAATTAATGAACAGGAGATTTCATGGATCGATTTTTCAAAGCTGCGTTTATAATAAAGTCTTGTTTTGATCAAGAGTTTGGTGGCACATTAAGTCAAGATTCTCTTGTTGATGGTAATTGATAATGTATTACAAAAACCAAGAAAATAAACGTTTACGCAGATTCAAAACAATAGAAAATATATATTTAGCTCAGTCTCACTGAATAATGAAATGGTTAATTTACCTTTGAGCAATTGTTGATATAGCTGTTAGTTTTTACAGCACGATCCTGGATGTCGAACTGTCATCGTTTAGCCTCATAAATAAACAGCTCGACTCTAATTTTACTTTGTCAATTGTTTTCCTTCTTTTTTTTCTACTTTTCATAGCTCTATCAGAAAAAAAAAAAACACACAACTTCAACATAAAACCTCGTTTCGCACAGTTTGACGAATTGTTCGCGATGTTTTCATTTTCGACCAGCACTGAACCATCCATAGCAACATTCCACATTTATAACATACTTCTTCAACTGGGAAATTAATTGAAAGGACTACAACCGTTGTTGAGTTATTACCAGAAAAAAGAATAGAGCGCTTGGAACTCATATATATGACCGATGTTCTACTGCTTTTAAACTGTTATTCCCTCTCCAAGAGATGTCAAAATATATTATATTACTAGACCATGACTGTCACTGACCATATCTTGGTGAAATGTACAGAACAAAATAGCTCTCCTACCAATTCGACAAGAGGTTACTCGAACTATAGGAGAAAATCTACTGTCACTGGCACAGAATACAATAACAAAAATGATCGGGACTGAAGAAGTATGCTCAGCTCAAGTACTGCGTGTGAACACGAGCCAATAGAACAGTATTTATACGCTTCATTTGACTTTCAACTCGACTTGAAAATGAAAATTACGGAAACGTCGGTTTTTTACAATTTTTTAAGAAGTATTTCTAGTTAATTCTCTAAATACGTCATTTCTTGTTCGTCCAATGAATTTCATGCCACCATTTACAAACATGCCATAAATGTGTCTCTACACGTGAAAACAGTCTGAGATGGCTCCACGAGCACGTGCGGGCTGTTGCATAACGTTCAGTTGCCCTATCGGCTTTTGAAAGGGAATAGAGCAGACTCGATAATACTGGGGAAGACCGCCATTTCGAGTTTCGATATTTATTCATTTTCAGGTTCCTGGCATAGAACATTCAGTCGTTACTTGCATCTCCGTTGAGCCACTTCTGTGTTTTTCATTGTCTGACGATTAATGTTTTACTTGGTCAGCTATGTATAGTTAAAAGTAAAACGATTCCTTTAATTGCTCTTTATCCTTTTATGCAAAAGCGATTTCTAAATGCAAAATTTGAACATTTGAAGCGTCGTAGCATTAAAAATTTTCGAATACATTCAAGTCGATATCAGTTTCCAGGCAGGTGTTTTATATGACGATTAAGAGTATTTGATAACTACGCTTGAGTTTATTTAAGTCGTTATATTGGGATTAGACCGGCATATCTACGTGTTATACGTATTATTAATCGCATTCTTCTGGTGCACTTAAACCGTAAATAGTTTGAATTTTATGCAGCTAAGATATATTTTAATGTGTGAGTAGTGTCCCCAATTAGTTTCTTATAAAGCTAAATTCTCTTTGACATTTGAATAAAGTCTTTCATTCTTTCATTCATTCATTGACTTCAGCGGAATATCAGGCAAGTTTGGTCGAGCCATAGTTCGTCGTTCTGCGAAACGTAGTCCCGCCGAAGCATACCGCAAAAGGTACGATTAGGTATTAACCCTACATAAACTCGGCCAAGTCATCATGATATCGTAGCCATAACAGGTCAGTGAGTTGATATCGCTGGATATCAGGACAGTAGACAGTTTCTGATTTGCTTATTGCGAATTTGGGTACGATAATATTACAAAACAAATATTTTCTTAACCTTCTTGGGGATGGGTTTGCTTCTATGATTGGCATTTGAGAGGACACACCGGAAAACGTCGGGATTTTCGAGAAAACAAACGAGACCAGTAACTAAGCGTATACTGTCACTCTTTTACTAGGTTGCTGCTTGAAGAACGATCTACTCCATCAAAAACATGGCCTTCTTCAATATTCCCTGCCCAGTGTCCTAAACACTATTCTTTGACATTATTCGCTTCATTGCGCTATTAATTGGCCACAAGGTTGTAATTTAAAGACCTTAATCACTAACGAGTGAATGGCTGTGCAAATTAACATTAACTTCACGTCAATTAAACCATAATGTTTTGGTAGGATCAAATTCAGAAGAGATCATTTGACGTTAGAGAGTATTACTGTATTCCTCTGCAGCGATCGATAGAATGTAATAAGATTATGCAGTTTTTCCAAATTTTACTGTTTCGAAATGACAAGAAATTGAGAACTATCAGTATATTGGCAATAGATAGTGAATGAGGCCATATTCACTGGATGATATGCAATCAAAGAATTTCCCGTTGCCATCCAAAACGCAGAAAAAATTTTCAGTTTCGGTCTTCAACTCTCGTTTTGTCGGCTAATTGACCGCAAAATTATGTGAAATCAAAAAATCATTAACACGTACCTAAAAGATAATTATTTTATACTTACCTTGAAAAAAATCAGCAGAAATAAAATAGTTGTGCTTCTAGATGTGCTACAACGTAAGTTTATGGCTGAACTGTTGCCTGCAATGGCGGTATGGTGATGATGACGGTGGTTTTACAGCCGCGGCATCTGGTAACGAGGCACGATCACTTCTTAAGACTTGCACCAATGGGAACTAAGCCGCTAATTACAAAGCGGTGTCATGTTTCCTACTCACCAAATCACATGACAGGACTGCGTGATTAACACGTTCAACTGATTGGACTTTGATCTGTTAGAAAAATAACCACCCGCAAACATACATAAAAACGTGTATTGCAAAAAGTCCTGGTTAAGACACGAACTCGTGCGAGCCAGTAATAAAATAGCATTTTTGCTTTAGTGTCTTCCAAGTTACATTTCACTTAAGCTGTAACCATTCCTTCACATCATTTCAGTGATTCCCATGTTTATTTTGTACATGCTTTTTTACCATGTATTCTGTTAGATAAATTTCATTTTCATCCACTGACAAACGTGACGACGAACTTAACACGGCAACAACAACGTGACAATGTGAACTTTATGAGCGGAGAACGAGAGATAGGAGAAATCAGCGATCAAACTACAGTAAATAAAGTCAAGTTTAATCAGGGGGGTGGGTGACGCTCTTTATCTCTTGCTCAGGATATATTTTGATTCTCTAATTATTATTTATTTATTTATTGAAAAATTAAAAATACTGGCCTAACCGTAAATTGTCGTTGGATATGTCTGCTGGCTGGCGCACCCGACAACATTATTTGAAATAATGTCATTACCACGAATGGTCACGAATGACTTTTCTATCCGTTAAAAAAAGCTTGTGGTCATCTGAATTTCCGTCGTAAATGCTAATTCTTCGAGGGTTTTTGGCGCTTGGAAAGTATTGCCAGAGACCATTTTAGAACTCATCCACTTTATTCTTGACGCTCTGCATCAACTGGTTTTCCATCTTGCAGACCGGTAACTATGTTTGAGGCCGCAATTTTTCCAGCACCAAATTAGCTTTTAACGGTGTCGAGATCATTATGGCGTCACTGTGGATCGATGTTAACCTTATTAAATGCTAATTCACTGCTTTTAGCGTTGTTTTAGCTTTCCCCTCGCTTGGCCAGGTGGAAATTATGAAAATTCACACCGGCTGACAAGTTAAGCCGAACCCGGCACGTTTTCGAGTTATATCGAGTGAATTGTTTTCCAAATTGTTCGCCAATTTTTCGTTGTTTTCCTTTGTGATTATGAATCGGACACTATGTCAAAAGCAAAATTAAAAACATTGAAAACCAGCATTGCAAAATGGTAAATTTTGTCACTATATTTACAAAGTTATGTCGGCTAACAAAAGCAGTCCATTCAACGCTATCTTCCACTGTGTTACTGAAAAATAAATTGAAAACTGAA